ATCTGTTTATAATCAATTAATTAGCCATAAAATAAATTAGGCAATGTATATGATTTCTTGTCTACCTTATATTAGAAACCCTACTTCGATAGATAAAAAATAATCAAATTGCAAATAGATAAATAGATAAATAATAATACGCAAAATTTATAGATGCTCGACTTAATATAAATTATGTCATCTTTCATCATTGCAGTTTTTACTATTATGAAAATAATTTTACAAGAAAATTTTGCACACTTGCTCGATTTGCATACTCCATATAATAAAAAAATAAGGGAAAATTGCAACAGAAGCCCCAAACCTTTAAAACATTAGCAGACTTTCCCTAAACCTTTGATTTGTTGCAACCATCACCCCTAACATTTTCAAACATTGCAGGTGAAGCCCTTTTGGATGGTTTCCATTCACAAATCCGTTAGTTGACCAAAAATTTAACTTTGACCACATTTTTAATATTTAAAAAAGGGGTAAAAGAGTAAATTTTAATTTATCACATTAAATAAATAATTAAATTGAAAAATGAGAAATAAAAAAACATAACCCTTGTCTTCTTTCTCTCACCCCACCCCCACCTCAAATCCAAAATCCACACCAACCACCATCGACACCACCTCCACCACCACCTTAGTATCACTCTAAAAAGGGCCTAAACCTAGATCTATACATACAATTCTTCTATCTGTATAAACCTAAAGTTGAAAACTTTACAAGTACGTGTAGGGAAATGAATAAAAAGTCAGAAAATTTTGCCTCAGTGATGCTTACGTGAAGTATAATTGTTGGTGCTTCGATGAAAAATAAAGCAAAAGAAAAGTAGGAGTGAAAAGATTGAGTATTTGTGAGCTGGGTCAGTGATTAAATTCTTGGAAATAGTACCAAGGTGAAGGAAAGAGATAAAGAAAGGGGAAAAAGCAGAGATGGAGCTAAAGAAAGCAAATCTGTCCTTCTAGTTGTTGTTCCCTTCTTGGAGATGTGCTTAATTTGCTTGGATTATAGCCTCTTTCTGATTTTTTTCACTTTTTTCTGAACCTTAAAACACCACAGCCTCGGCGTCCTCTTTGCTTTTGGCATTCACCAGATGAAGATGAAGAATATATGATTCAAATTTATACAAATAGAAGAATTGTATGTATAGATCTAGGTTTAGGCTTTTTAGAGTGATACGGAGGTGGAGGTGGAGGTGGGGGTGGCGGTAACGGTGGTGGCGGCGGCGATGGAGGTGGTTGGTGTAGATTTTGGATTTGAGTTGGGGTTAGGGGTGGGCGATGGGGTGCGAGAAAGAAGACAGGCGCTGTATTGTTTTATTTCTCATTTTTTAATTTAATTATTATTTAATGTGATAAATG